GTCAAGTTTCGCCATCAGGCTGCCTTTCAGGCGTTTCTGGGATGGTGTGAGGGGCATGTTTACCCTCTCCCTGATGCCGCTGGTTCTGTTAAGGTAGTGAACCTCAGCGTCGTCTTGACATATGTGTCGGTGCGTGGTGCCCCCTTCGAGTTTAACGACGATCTCCTAACTGCTGTGTTTGGACGGTTTGGTACTGTGCTAAGCATTCGTTGGAACAAGTTACTTACAGGGCACTGTGCTGGGATGCTTGACGGCTCCCGCACCCTGATCATGTCACTGAAGAGTAGTGTTCCGTCCTCTGTGTCTTTGTTGGGTTACACGCTCTGCTGCCTGTATCGGGGGCAACCGCGCACCTGTTATAGGTGTGGTAATGAGGGTCATCTCGCTGCAGCGTGCGACGTGGGAGCAACTGGCAGGGTGCATATTTTTTGTGAGGAGGACTTTCCACCCCAGTTGACTTTGGACGCTTCTGAGGATGGAGTGAGTGCTATGCCTGAAGTGCCTGATTGCCTGTCTGCTGTTCCGCCTGTTGGGGCGGATACTACACCTTGTACGTCCAGTCTGTTAACTGCTGTGGCCCTGGAGGTAGTTGTTGCACCAGAGTGTGCGAGTGTCGGGCCGTCGCCCGCACTGCATGTGGTGGATGTCCCAGTGGAGGTCCATGTCCCATCCCCACCTGCGGATGTGGTCCCGGCTCCCGGAGAAGCAGGTTCTTCTGTTTTGCAGGGCCTGCCACCCCCGGGGCCTGCCGACCCTGTGAGTTTGGACCATTGTAGTTCTGATGATGTACTCCCTTTGCAGAATCGGGCGCGCCGGTGTCCCGGGCCAGTTTTCCAGGATGTGGTGGACCGTGTGAGCGACGTGGCCTCTGTGGGTTCTCCGGCCGGTGTGGGTGTGGACCATGAGGATGCAGTGATGTTGGCCGTGCCTGCGAAGGAGACGGGTGAGGAAGGTGTGGTGCCTATTCCTGCCTACGTTTCGGGTGTGGCTCCACTGTGCCCCCCTGTGCCTTCGTGTGCCAGTTCTCCGAAATGGGAGGTTGTTGCACCTGCTGTAACCCCTGGTGTGGATCGTGATTTAGTTCTCGTGCTGAAAAGGGACACCAGCCGGGGAGTCTCAGCGCGGTATGAACCTATGCCACAGGATGTACCGCCACTCGTGATTGGAGGTGTCGTTGTCGAGATTCTGGAGTATATGCGTCGCCCACGTCACTCGGATGCGGGTGTGCCCCCGTCGCAGGATGCCTAGGATGAGTGGCATACATACTGTCAGAAATATCTTAAGCGTCTGTTTCCTGAGAAATATTATTGACCTAGTTCAGTGGTGTTTATGTTTGTGTTTAGCTTATATGTATGTGTGTTTGTTTTTTGCTTGTTTTATTCTCTGTTGTCTTCTCCGTGTCCCTCTGTTTTTCGTTCATGTTTCTGTCATTTATGTGTCCTGCTTTGTTACTCTGTCCCCTGGTTGGTTTTTTTCTGTAAAGGTTCATTTTATGATCGGGTGCTTCGGTGCCTTGTTTAATTTGTATGTCTGTATTTTATAATAAAAAGCAAGAAAAAACTTCCGGGTAATTAGCAATCTCTGAGTAACTGTTCAAGGTCCTGTCAAACTTGACAGTCAAACTTAACTCACGAAGAATTTACGTTAACACTAGTCGATCACTGAGACCGCTTGGCGACCACTGATTAGTAAACACCATTGCTAATCACCTCTCACTACTAAAGATGGTAATTAATTACATTAATTCAATGACACTGACTTCACAATAAATTAATATAAATCAAAACAACACGGGGTCACATAGACCAACACAATTACAGTAGCAAAATACAGTGCTTAACCCAAGCACTGAACAACACTCACAACCGTCACAACAAATGTTATAAAATCAATGATAATACAATTTCAATAAAGTAAACAGACTTACTTTTATCACTGCTTGTCTTCTGGAACGAAAGAAAAGAAAGACAACACGGAAATGGTTAAACACAGAGTGATGATTAAACCACACTAAACCTCAACACAATTAACATAAACCACACAAATACTAAATGTGTAACAAAGTGTAAGATAACAGTCACACTAAGGTCAATTTACAGTTATCACACAGATTAGCTGTAATAAGCCTTTACCTATCGTGCTTCCTCGGTAATTGAACTCCTCCCCGTATCGGGATTATGAAGAACGGCACACCGGTCGGCTGACTTGATTCAGCACAAGGAATTAAAGCACGTCGGACGAATGATACAAGATATACATAGTTTGAGTACTCACTTTGAATTTATTACCGGTATCTTCCACAATCCACACTACAATCACACTCACTATGACCCCGCTATTGATTGAAGATCATACACCACAGAGGTTGTCCAGGTTACAGTGAACAGGGAGCTACACGGGTGGAGGTACAATGAGGTGGGGTGGAGGTGGCGCCCGGGCGGATGAGTTGGCGAGCCACTGGGACCACATGGGCTACAATCGCCTGTCTTCCAGGATACTGGAGGAGACGGGGGTGCATTTGGGTGCACACTGGTGAGAATTGCACTAGTGTGCTTTGCTGAAGGCACACTGATAACACGCTGATGGGACGAAGATGGACACCACGTGATAAGCACACGAGGTGGGCAGCACAATGGACGAAATAAACAGCGTCCACACAGTCCCCAATTTTCGCATTAAATCACTCAGAATTTTAACTCAAACACTTGGAACCGTATTCCTAGAGACCCTGTACACAGTTTACTTAGCGATATGGTGACGGATTACCTTTACTTTCGTTGACGATCACCGATACAACTGGCTGCAGTCCTGTTGCTTCTGCATCGATCACGTGTGGCGCGGAGTGTACTTCCTTGTATCTTTCGAGTAATATATATATATATATATATTACTCGAAATCCAGTAACCTGCGCCCAGCTGTTACCGGATTCTGTGACAATAATGCTTAGACGGAATAGATATACTTGAGCTTGCTGAACTATGCTGTAGACAAGAGAAATACCCGGTTTTTGGCCGAAACAGGATATCACGTCTACACAGCACAGCAACGCTCCTCGGAATGAGGTGCCGTGGGCGGGAATGGAACCGACGGTGTTCCCCTAGTCTTTTGAGACGGCCAATCAGGTGCCAGCATCCTAGAGGCCCATGGTGCCGCGACCAATGAGAATTCCCTGCCGGTGACGCTTACACGAGGGCTAGGGGGAAACCGTTGAGACACATAGCTCACAGTGCCTGGCTTCCTTCCCTGTATCTGGGCAGCCAGAACTAAAATTTATGCTAATTCTGTAACTATTTATCCAGAAATGCTACAACGACTATCGCGAGTTTTCTGGGAAGCTGAGAGTGTCTGCTTTCCAAAGACACCCAATTACGACCTTCTAGCTGCTATAACAAGAAAGTTCATATTTTGTGCACTCCTGTGCACTCTGAAATTTCCTAAGTCAAAATGGCAATTTGCTTCTTCTATCAACAATGTGTAAGCTAGCCAGAGGGTCAACCTCTGACATAGTGTACCTCTGTTCAATTACTTTATATCTCCTAATGTATGGTAATTATGCTTACAAACTGCATATGATCTATCACACCAATGTCTGTAAATCATAAGAAAACTACAACCTAATGCATGTTGTAAATCAAAACATTAGTTTCTTCGTATATTATTACATAGACATATACCATGGTTTGTATGTTTTTCCAAATTTGGTACTAACTTGAGGTTCCTGGTGAGTACCTCCTTGTTCTATTACCATCCATACCTCCCTGGCGAGTATCCTACTTGTACCATTACCATCCAGACCTTCCAGGCGAGTACCCTACTAGTACCATGACCATCCAGACCTTCCAGGCGAGTACCCTACTTGTACCATTACCATCCAGACCTTCCAGGCGAGTACCCTACTAGTACCATGACCATCCAGACCTTCCAGGCGAGTACCCTACTTGTACCATTACCATCCAGACCTTCCAGGCGAGTACCCTACTTGTACCATTACCATCCAGACCTTCCAGGCGAGTACCCTACTAGTACCATGACCATCCAGACCTTCCAGGCGAGTACCCTACTTGTACCATTACCATCCAGACCTTCCAGGCGAGTACCCTACTAGTACCATGACCATCCAGACCTTCCAGGCGAGTACCCTACTAGTACCATGACCATCCAGACCTTCCAGGCGAGTACCCTACTAGTACCATGACCATCCAAACCTTCCAGGCGAGTACCCTACTAGTACCATGACCATCTACACCTTCCAGGCGAGTACCCAACTTGTACCATGACCATCCAAGCCTTCCAGGCGAGTACCCTACTTGTACCATGACCATCCAAACCTTCCAGGCGAGTACCCTACTAGTACCATGACCATCCAGACCTTCCAGGCGAGTACCCTACTTGTACCATGACCATCCACACCTTCCAGGCGAGTACCCTACTTGTACCATGACCATCCACACCTTCCAGGCGAATACCCTACTAGTACCATGACCATCCAAACCTTCCAGGCGAGTACCCTACTAGTACCATGACCATCCAAACCCTCCAGGCGAGTACCCTACTTGTACCATGACCATCCAAACTTTCCTGACGAGTACCTTACTTGTACCATGACCATCCAAACCTTCCTGACGAGTACCCTACTTGTACCATAACCATCCAAACCTTCCTGACGAGTACCCTACTTGTACCATTACCATCCAAACCTTCCTGACGAGTACCCTACTTGTACCATAACCATCCAAACTTTCCAGGCGTGTACCCTACTTGTACCATGACCACCCAAACCTTCCTGGCGAATACATCCTTGCCCCCATGACCATCCATACCTGCACATTTAAAATTGCTGACCAGCATAAATAACAATTAACTAAAACATTAAATTTCCCGTGTAAATTCATCACATTATATGCCTACTGGTCAATTTGCATATACTGACTGTTTATCTAATTAATCATAGCCTCCATTGGCATACTTAACCATTTGCATACTACATGTGCTTTTGTAGGTAATCTGTTCTCCTCTGGTGTGCAAATTCGCCTATGTTAATGAACCTTTGCTATTTAAAATTTTGGAGAACAGCCTCATTCATAGCATGATAATACATACCTCTAACAGCTGGATAAGCTGGAGACTTGTAGGCCGTAGCAGCCATCACAATAAACAGCAGCAACACTGCAGATGTTGTCACCAAACTCTGCCTCTTCCTCGCCCTGTTAATCGTGACTTTCTTGTTGTGTGATTTTCTGTGGCCATTGTGGTGTTGACTCATCATTGGCTCTCGCCACAACTGCTGCTGCTGTAGAGTACTTATGGGTGTGTAGCTTCTTCCTCTGACGCTGCTGCTGCTGTTCTCAGGTACTCCTCTGGCTGCTGATCTTGCTACAGCTGGTGTCTTCGTCAGATACTGTTCTTGCTCCTAGCAATGTTCTTCACTGTAATAAAAAAGAGATAAAATATTGTAATTAAAATCAAATTTGTATATATTTAAATCTTTATTTCTCATTTCTTGGCTGGAACCATTTAAACCTTCCTTCAAGTTCCACTTTGTACTATGACCATCCAAACCTTCCTGGCGAGTACATCCTTGCATAATGATCAACCAAACTTGCCTTGTGAGTACATCTTTGCACCATGACCATCCCAGCCTGCTTTGTGAGTACATCCTTGCACATGACCATCCAAACCTGCCTCTGAGTACATCCTTGCATCATGACCATCTATACCTGCCTGGTGAGTACATTTTACATCAGGACCATCCATACCTGTCGAGAAAAAACCGACCTACCTCTATAACCCTAGTTACAATATGCAGATAATTGCGCTGCGGTTCTTGTACTAACCTATTAACCAATACTAACACAAATTAATTTAATAACTCATTCAAAGAAAACGAGATTATAGTGGAATTTTCCTTTAAACGTGAGATATATCTCACCCATCACAACAAAATATATTAATAAAATATTAATAATCGCTAAAAACTTCCAGTTCAGTGTTAAAATTAATAACAAACTGTTCCCTGTAACTGGATCAAATAAATTTACCAGTAAAATTAACGCCTTCCTTCCTTCGTCCAAAAATGGGCAAAATTTAGCCGGTTCCAATAACGTGACTGAGCCGGGGAAGGAGGGCGGCGGCCATTGTGGAATGAACACTGCTCGCGTGATTTAGTAAAAAATAGCAACTACGTTTATACTCGTGAACCGGAGCCATCTAGACGTTCTTCAGCTGCCGCGACCTCAAATAACGGGAGTACGTCGTTTCCGGCTGTGTAAAAAACTAATATTATTTTGTAGGGCCCCTAGAATGTTATTTAAATGGAACCGGTGATGAGGCGGGCGAACACCAAAAACCGGGTGAGCTTCTCACAATCTAGAAATATTCTTAATACTAATAATTTAAATGTGCCATATCTGTGTAGGAAGTAAAGTTGCAGTTGTTAGATTGTATTCTTTCGGCAGATCTGTGGTCACCTGGGAATTAAGCGTCAGCAACCTGTCGCCACTAGGGAACAGACACCATAGCCACGAGGCTTAGTCCTGGCACACTGGTCACGTGTCCCTCTGATATCCACACTGAAGTCATCAAACAGCTAAGGCCTTCGTGTACAAACTAACCCTAGTACAATAATAAACTAACCTTAATACACACAGAAATCACACTAGCATGATGCATCAAATGTACTAGTCCACAAGGGCCGTGATGAGGGACCGAGCCTACGTCTGAGAGGATCCTAGACGCGCCTTTATCGACTAGGCCACGACATGGTAAAAGAATTGCAACCGGGAGTTCCACCTGGCCTCACACGGATCCTGCAGTCACTCCGAGACACTAACCAGGGTTTTACACAAATCCTCCATGAACTCTGGCTCAGTCAATAAGCTGTGAATTCTACCTCTTCGCACTTATTTCATTACACTCAGAAATCACAATACCGTGATGAGGCAAGTGGAACTCCCGGTTGCAATTATTTTACCATGTCGTGGCCTAATCGATTAAGGCGCGTCTGGGATCCTCTCAGACACAGGTTCGAACCCTCATCACAGCTATTGTATATTTGTTAATTTTAACCTTAGTAAAAATTTGCTTCCATTCGATTGATAGGTTACTTTAATTAATTAACCCCCAAATTGTGTTGGGATATGACTTGTGGGAGATTTTATATCCATACAGTCCGCTCAATTAAACATACAGTCCACTAAGCTATGGAAAGAATTAATAATTAAATCAATTATACATCATAAACAAAATCACATTAAATAAAAAAAAAATAATATCTATTTTTTTTAATTATCAGGGGAAAGCGCCAAGCTCTTACGACTTTACAGAGGTGGGAAGGGGTCAGGATAAGGATTTGGGATGGGACGGGGGAGGGGGAAGAGTAATGGTGCCCAACCACTTTGACGGTCGGGGATAGAATGCCGACCTGCATGAAGCGAGACCCACAATACCTGCCTGGCGAGTACATCCTCGCACCATGACCATCCATAACTTACTGGCAACAATGTTGTATCCAGATTATTTTGTAAACATTAGTTAGTCTCTCTCTCAACGTACCGGCGGCGTAAGTAGTGGATGGAGCGCGAGGAGGAGTATGTTAGTGGCAAATGGATTGGAGCCAGTGGGCGGGAGGCACTCTGGGTCAGCGGTCAGGGAGGAAGGCAAGGTGTGGCTACACAGGACTCCAGTAGAGGCAGCGAGTCACAGACGTGACCTCAAGTGCAATATGAGACGGTCATTGTTAGACCTCATTTATTGTGAGAACACTGTTGACATGTTGACCGGAAGTGGTTTGGGAAGGCTCAATAGTTAGAGGAGGTTGAATAAAAGAGACGCCAGCAATGTGGCATATTTCATTCTGGACAGGACCATGATGCTGGTGGTGGTGTGGAAATGGTATGGTGAGGACCATGCTGCTGGTGGTGTGGACCTGGTATGGTGAGGACCATGCTGCTGGTGGTGTGGTCCTGGTATGTTGAGGACCATGATGCTGGTGGTGTGGACCTGGTATGGTGAGGACCGTGATGCTGGTGGTGGTGTGGACCTGGTATGGTGAGGACCATGATGCTCGTGGTGGTGTGGACCTGGTATGGTGACGACCGTGATGCTGGTGGTGGTGTGGACCTGGTATGGTGAGGACCATGATGCTGGTGGTGGTGTGGACCTGGTATGGTGAGGACCATGATGCTGGTGGTGGTGTGGACCTGGTATGGTGAGGACCATGATGCTGGTAGTGTGGACCTGGTATGGTGAGGACCGTGATGCTGGTGGTGTGGACCTGGTATGGTGAGGACCATGGTGGTGTGGACCTGGTATGGTGAGGACCATGGTGCTGGTGGTGTGGACCTGATATGGTGAGGACCATGATGCTGGTGGTGGTGTGGACCTGGTGTGGTGAGGATCGTGATGCTGGTGGTGGTGTGGACCTGGTGTGGTGAGGACCATGATGCTGGTGGTGTGGACCTGGTATGGTGAGGACCATGGTGCTGATGGTGTGGACCTGGCATTGTGAGAACCATGGTGCTGATGGTGTGGACCTGGTATGGTGAGGACCGTGATGCTGGTGGTGGGGACCTGGTATGGTGAGGACCATGATGCTGGTGGTGTGGACCTGGTATGGTGAGGACCATGATGCTGGTGGTGTGGACCTGGTATGGTGAGGACCGTGATGCTGGTGGTGGGGACCTGGTATGGTGAGGACAATGATGCTGGTGGTGGTGTGGACCTGGTATGGTGAGGACCATGGTGGTGGTGTGGACCTGGTATGGTGAGGACCGTGATGCTGGTGGTGTGGACCTGGTATGGTGAGGACCATGATGCTGGTGGTGTGGACCTGGTATGGTGAGGACCGTGATGCTGGTGGTGTGGACCTGGTATGTTGAGGACCATGATGCTGGTGGTGGTGTGGACCTGGTATGGTGAGGACCATGATGCTGGTGGTGTGGACCTGGTATGGTGACGACCGTGATGCTGGTGGTGGTGTGGACCTGGTATGGTGAGGACCATGATGCTGGTGGTGTGGACCTAGAATGGTGAGGACCATGATGCTGGTGGTGTGGACCTAGAATGGTGAGGACCATGATGCTGGTGGTGGTGTGGACCTGGTATGGTGAGGACCATGATGCTGGTGGTGGTGTGGACCTGGTATGGTGAGGACCGTGATGCAGGTGGTGTGGACCTGATATTGTGAGGACCATGATGCTGGTGGTGGTGTGGACCTGGTATGGTGAGGACCATGATGCTGGTGGTGTGGACCTAGTATGGTGAGGACCGTGATGCTGGTGGTGGTGTGGACCTGGTACGGTGAGGACCATGATGCTGGTGGTGTGGACCTGGTATGGTGAGGACCATGATGCTGGTGGTGTGGACCTGGTACGGTGAGGACCATGATGCTGGTGGTGGTGTGGACCTGGTATGGTGAGGACCATGATGCTGGTGATGTGGACCTAGTATGGTGAGGACCATGATGCTGGTGATGTGGACCTAGATGGTGAGGACCATGATGCTGGCGGTGGTGTGGACCTGGTATGGTGAGGACCATGATGCTGATGGTGGTTTGGACCTGATATGGTGAGGACCATGATGCTGGTGGTGGTGTGGACCTGGTATGGTGAGGACCATGATGCTAGTGGTGGTGTGGACCTGGTATGGTGAGGACCATGATGCTGGTGGTGTGGACCTGGTATGGTGAGGACCATGATGCTGGTGGTGTGGACCTGGTATGGTGAGGACCGTGATGCTGGTGGTGTGGACCTGGTATGGTGAGGACCATGATGCTGGTGGTGGTGTGGACCTGGTATGGTGAGGACCATGATGCTGGTGGTGGTGTGGACCTGGTATGGTGAGGACCATGATGCTGGTGGTGTGGACCTAGTATGGTGAGGACCATGATGCTGGTGGTGTGGACCTGGTATGGTGAGGACCGTGATGCTGGTGGTGTGGACCTGGTATGGTGAGGACCATGATGCTGGAGGTGGTGTGGACCTGATACGGTGAAGACCATGATGCTGGTGGTGTGGACCTGGTATGGCAAGGACCGTGATGCTGGTGGTGTGTGGACCTGGTATGGTGAGGACCATGGTGGTGTGGACCTGGTATGGTGAGGACCGTGATGCTGGTGGTGTGGACCTGGTATGGTGAGGACAATGATGCTGGTGGTGGTGTGGACCTGGTATGGTGAGGACTATGATGCTGGTGGTGTGGACCTGGTATGGTGAGGACCGTGATGCTGGTGGTGTGGACCTGGTATGGTGAGGACCATGATGCTGGTGGTGGTGTGGACCTGGTATGGTGAGGACCATGATGCTGGTGGTGGTGTGGACCTGGTATGGTGAGGACCATGATGCTGGTGGTGTGGACCTAGTATGGTGAGGACCATGATGCTGGTGGTGTGGACCTGGTATGGTGAGGACCGTGATGCTGGTGGTGTGGA